TACATTCATCGTTTCACTCAGAATCTAAAACACATTCTAATAGATTATCTGATAAATAAAAAACTAAAATAATTATTATTAAAAAGTGATAGATGTTTTTTTATTTATTTTCTAATTATTTTAGGGAACCGATATTTATTATTTTTATCTCAATGGTTTGAGGAGGATTGATAAATTAATTTTGAAATTCGCAGAAACAAAAGTGACTTTATTGATTTCAATATTGTTGATTTAAATTTAACTGTAAGCAAATAGTTGTTGAGTTTGTTACCATTATAGTGCGTTTTATGGTCCCCTGCACACAAATCGCACTTGACAAGCTGATGCAGAAATTGTGTACATAAGTTTAACTAATGCAACTCTTTGTATATTCCACAGAGTGATTGATGCATATTATGAATTGTTTCTCTAAAATATCTGTATCTCGTAAGCTTGGTAGTTATCTCGTTGAAGTATAAAATCCATATTTCCAAAGATATTAAATGCTATATAGCCTATATTATTATTATGTATTTACATAAATATAAACTAGATTATTTGATAAATTCGGTCACTCAAATTTGTTAAGGGGATTCGATCCAGCGTATTTATTTCATGATTTAGACCTAAAAGCCTGACAAAAATACGCCTACTTAGAATTATCAGATTTCAATTCTGTAAAAAGATTCGAGTTCATTGACAATTTTCCTAGGTTATTGTGGGAATCAATTTTCGATATTTTTTTTAGAATTCACGTTAAATCATACTTCGATTTCTCAATTTTTTGAAAATTGTTTGTGTCTTTCTTTAAAAAGTTAAACAGTTATTCAAAAATCGACTCCCACAATAACCTAGAAAAAAGAACGATGAATTAAAATATGTTTACAGAACTAAAATCCGATCATTCTAAGTTATCGTATTTTTGTCAGGCGTTTAGGTCTCAATTGATTGAAATTAGTTTCTCGTTGGAACAAATATTTTATTATGTGACATGTGCATGCGGGTGCGAACCACTGATTCCGAACGTATCTACGCACACTACTGATCATTTACTTCGCACACAAACACACTGCGAAACGACTATAATACATCGAATTGCCTATATACGACCCCTTATTAAATCACCGGATCGAATCCCCTTAAGTATAAAAGTATTTTCTAGACCACAAAAAGACAAAATTATAAAGTGAAAAAGTGAAAAAGTATGAATGGTTATAAATATAGTAACATAAGAAACATGTTACATTTTTCCTTTAAAACAAAATAACTGACACTGCTCGTTAATATTTAAATAAATGTAATTTCGTAAATGTGTACACCCAATATTCTATCCTTTTTTAACTTATTTGATTTCTGTACAACATTACATGCTTATGAAATGTAAACGATACATTCTACCATTATTATTGTATTTTATTCTAAGTCCTTATTATGTCTTGTTATTATAAAAACATCCAAATGATTATTCAAAAATGGTAAAATTAACGAGTTTAGAGACACGGTGCTCTACCTACATTAAATTGCCATAAAAGACATTTTTTGATAATGGTTTTCATTTATAATTTAAATTTTCTTAAGATGACTAATCCAATTTCATTGAGTTTTAATGATAAAATTATTCGTTGACCGTAATCGAACAAATCATAACAAAACACGCGTGAGAAATTTTATTATGTTTTTGTTCATGATTTAAAATAATATGTTGTAATGTCTTGGCTTTATGATTATATTTTGTTATTAGAAATGTAATATCTGCATTTATATTACTTTTTTAATAAAGTTTATTAGTTTATTTTTGTTTTTCGGCTATTTTATTAATTTACTTAAACATAATTCTGTGTCATGTTTTTGCGATTTGTTTTATACTTTTAATTTCCTCATGTCATATCATAACATATCACATCATATCATTATACACTGCCTAATTACTAAAAGTTGAATGGCTTGGAAAACCATTGGGAAATATGGAACACCCAGTTTACCTAGAGATCACACTGGACAGAACTCTTACGTTCAAAGAGCAGCGTAAGAAAACTAAAATGAAAGTTGAAGCAAGAAACAATACCTTATACAGAAACTAGCAGGTAGCAAGTGGGGTGCAACTCCAAACACGATCCGTACTACTGGACTAGCACTTTATTTCTCCGATGGCGAGTATGCTAGCCCAGTATGGAACCAATCTAAACATACAAAACATGTTGACAAGGCCCTTAATGAGACCTGTAGGGTAATAACCTGGTGCCTTTAACCAACGCCACTTAAATATATATCCATTAGAAGAGATAGGTCCACCAAGAATACGAAGATATGTGCATGCATGCATGGAGTGAACCAAGAAAACAATGGACCAAAGACACCCCATGGACCACAAAGGAGACTTAATAATCAGTTAAATCTCGAAGAAGCTTTATTGCCAATTCGACCAATATCCAGGATTCACCGGAACAACACAGAATACGAAAATGGAGAGAAAAGCTACAATGTGAAAAACCTGTCCAGCCTGCTGAGAATTTACCATGTGGAGGAAAAAAACCATGGATTATATGGAAGACATTAAATAAGCTAAGAAATGGAGTAGCTAAAACAAAAGCAAACATGATGAAATGGGGATACCAGAAAGAACCGGACATACTATGCGAATGTGGAGAAGACCAATCAGATGACCACTTATTACAATGCACACTAGCACGACCAAGATGCACGACCGACGACTTAACTTTAGCCAACGAAAAAGCAATAGCAATGGCATTTAAATTAAAATTAACAACATATTTTAACTCATAATGTTACAATATATGTTATTGTGTAGAATAGTTTCACGATTACCACATATTGAGTTATAAAAAAGTGTAATAGAGTAATAAAAAATGCGAAGTATAAGTCACATTATTGTTTGAATTTGAAGAAGAAATAATTACGAAGCTGGAATTTTCAGGTAAGGACTAAGAAAGGATTTATTAAAATTAAATTCCTCAATGTGAAGAATAGGGAATACGTAAGAAGATATCTTTGAACAGCTATATCTGAATTTTTACTAAACCAATCAGCCTGATTTTAATTTTATACAGAAGCATCCGGTTTGTAAATGAGCCATTTAATGAGAAAAGTTCAAATAATTAATTAATTAAATATAAATTACGAAATTAGTAACATACCAGTGGCGCCATCTACGTGAGTATGTTACCATCTGAGGAAACTAAATTTTATTATTTTCGTTATTATTTCTTAAGGTTTTAGTTGTCATGGTTAAGAATTATTAACAAAAACATATTTATGATTCATAGATTTTCCTGGGAGAGGAATAATATTGGGTATTGTGCTACTGGAAGGAGTTTTTTTTTTGCTACAAATCTCATCTTGCCAAATTCTATGATCTTTTGGATCATATACTTATGCAGCTATAAATAATATTATTATAGCCTGTTAACATATAAACAGTTGTCCTATAATTTATAAATATGTTATAACAATTACATATAAATGTGAAAACTGAAAATATTTAAGTCCAAATCTGAAGTCTTTGATGATTTTTATTTCATTATTTACAGAAACATACCTACCTACCAAAAACTACTGAGAACTAGCTGTAAATTCTACAGTAATTTGTAGTTCTTAATTTATTTTTTAACCTATTGGGAAATTCCAATAATTTCTACTTTCAAAGTAACATCTGTGCAGTTTTAGTTTGATAGAAACGCTACTATTGAAACTTTTTTATCTAATACATTTTTCAACCAAACTCGAGTGATCACAGAAACGGACAAAAATATATATGTATAAAAAAAAAACAGTGTACCTACCTACCTAACTTAATAAAGTGTATATTCCACAAATATTCTAAAAGTATGATACGAACTAATTTATAACTATAATTGATCAACTGATTAAATAAATATTATTCTGTGCAAGATTCTCATCTTCATTTTTCGTTGGTTTGTATTAAATTATTGTTGGTAATTGATGTGAAAAATATTAACAAGTATACCGTATAGAAATTTAAATATTATTTCAATCGACTAATAAAACTGTTTTTATTCATTATTGTAATAGAAACTTATGTTGTTATTTCTAAGCGATGATCCTGTTTTCCATTTTATCTATTATTACTTCCGAACAGTGTCGGAATTATCTAGATAAAATTATTTCTTAAATTATCTTATCTAGATTAAAATAATTAAACCATCTAATTTTTCATCTAGGGAAATGTAATGGTTATCTGTGGCAATTTATCTAGATAAATAATATAATAATAAGAATATTTTTAAATACTGAATTAGCCAATAATTTAAGAGAACCGAGTAGTGATTCCAAATTCCAATATTAGTATAGTTAAAAAAGAAATGTTTACTGAAACATTGTCAGTTTTATTTTGTTAATTTATTTTTATTTAAGTTATATTAAGAATTAAAATTGTATATTATTTTAGTTAAGAAATGAAATTAAGGATTTATTAATTAATAAATATTACCTAATTGGTAATTAATAATAAAGTGATAATATAATTTAAAAACAAATTGTCTATTTTTTTATCTAGATAAATGTATGTGTATTTTTATATCTTATCTTATCCAGATAATTTTTTGTTTATCTTTTAACAACACTGCTTCCGAATCAAGTTTGTGAATAATATAACTTTCAATATTATGTATAATTAAGAGATTAGTAAGCCAATCCCTTGTGCCATTCAGGACAGAGCTTTAATTCGGTGCATGGCTGAAAATTATCTTTCACGAGATGTACAACTTATATGGTTGACAATAGTATTAATAACACAAATTGAACAAGACGGTAGAAATTTTTGTGAAATTGCAAAAATTGATACAAAACGATCTGATTGCAAACATAATACTATGCACTTAACTAATATGGCTATGCACATAGCAAATTTATATAATAGTAATAGGTGCTATTGGTGCCACCGGAAAATAAAAAAAGTATGCTCATAATGATTAATATAGGATGTCAAGTAAACTCATGTACAAATAGTATGCATTTTGTTGAAATTAATATTATATTCTTACCGTTCGCTCGCCTAAGTTTCTGACACGACAATGAAGATAAGCTGTGCTTCCTAATGGCACAGTGAGGTTAGTTTCTGTGGTATTGTCCAAAAGTGGCTCCGTGAGCTTTTGAAATTCATCAACGCTTGAATACCATAGTTGTTGCCATTCTGAGTTACCAGATCCTCCTGGTTGTCCACTTTTACTTTTTGGACTGGATATTTCTCGTTTTTCTGTAAAAAAAAATAATGAATATTTTTTTATAAGTACATAATTCGATTCTTTGACAAATTTTAAAATATAGCTTTAAGATGTACAACGTACATAATACATACATAATACGTACGTAATACATTTATAAATGTTGGTTATCTTCCAAATCATTATTAAATTACTTGTTTTTCATCGTCAAATGATTAAACAAAAACGTTTGATATCAAAAGTAAATTATAATTTAAAAGAAAATAATTTGGTTAGAGATGTGCATTTACTTAATACCATAACAATAATGTTCTTAATTACACGTGCATAATAATTAATTACGATTTAACAAAGGACCTTAAAAAAAACCGTTATAGATGTAATTGTACAACCTATTAAATATTATACTACATCAATTATAACGAAAATGATGTTATATCTGTTCATTCAATACACATATCAAATGCACAATAATTATTTAATATATTATAATATAACGATAATCAATATTATATAATATAAATTATTACACATCGTTTATAAGTTAAAACAAAAAGGAATACAAGTGTTCATTTCCATAAACAATATTATGTTTTCACATAAAAAATAATAAACAAAATTAAAATGTATTGCATTTTAATAACAATTATTATTTTATAAATAGGTATAGGAATATTTTCTAATTGTGTATTATTTGGACTTGTAAATCATAAACGAGGTAATTGAATTTCAAGCATCCATCGTCAATTGACTCACCATACCTTCACCGTTTAAATGGAATTCAATCAGACAATGTCAAAAGCATTCTCATTATCGAGGGCATTTTCAGCTGGGTTTGAACGGAGAAATAAAATAAATAAAAAATCTACTTCATTACGAAATGACGCGTAGGCTCAATCGATCCATTTTCCCGGGATTTAATTTTTGTTCGAGTTAGAAAGGCTGTTGTCGATTAATGGATCATTAGTTTTTTTTTTTTGTAACAGCATGTTCCTTACTAGATTAACTAATGTATCTTAGAATCTTTTAATAGTTGTCATGAAATCGTGAATTCACAAAAGAAATAGCTGAGATTCAAAATGAGCAATTTCTGAGTAGTAGCATGTTGCCTGCGCTTTACGAGACATTTATATGGTGGTGTTTTTCAATAATTAGGTAGTTGAAGACAATAATTATTTCAACAGTTGTAATAATTGCAAATATTTGATTATTTTAAATAAAACACAAGTTTAAAAATAATGTACCTATTTTACAAGTTGTGTGTGAGAGTGACGGGATGATATTCAGTACTCGATGGCTATGGTACATCTGAAATGGTGATACAGCTGGTTTCCTTATAAAGTGGTATTCCGTTAAATTTTCTTAAACCGGAGTCCACGGAATTTGGCAAACGCCCTTGTATTTGCAAAATATACCCTGCCATGTGTCACTAACGCAGTCGTCATTTCGTACGTTTCTAAGAATTGCAACAGTAATATTATACCATTCAAAAGTACATTTAAATAATTTTCGTAATCATTGAACAAGACGTTGTATCGTTTAGCCATAGCTCTGGGCTGCCAGTCATTACATTAGTATAGTTTTCGGATTCACGACAATTGAGAGTGTAACCACTGAGCGCTGCGACAATTAAGCGCTGAGACAATTGAGCGAAATTTAAACCTCAGTATAAGTTATAGTATGTTATATAATATGTTTATTGTAAATGTTTATGTAAATGTATAATTTATATTTAGTCATCGTATGCTTAATAAATAATAATACATTACGAGTCAAGACAAAATATTAAATAAAACATTTATAATAATAATTTTAAAAAAATAAACTAAGTCATTGTAAGTTATAGTTTTTAAAATTTTCTCTGCTCTGGTTGTACATATTATAATAATTCAAGAAAAATACAATAAAAGAAAGTGATACTGAAAAATCGTTATATCAATTTGACCCATCAAAACATTGACTGAGTGACCGTTTCATTATATTATTTATATTTCAAAATACCTACCTATCAACATTTTATTTTTTTTAGTTATAACTACTTATAAGAGAACTTATGCTTACAATATAATTATTATATGATGCCCAAACTAACTTGAAAAACGTACACAGTATATCAGAAAATAATTATAAATATATTGTATAAAACTATTAAATATTAAAATATGTATTCAATTATACTCTAATAACTACCAAAATATACTATTAAAATATTCTATAAAAATAAAACAATAAAAAGCTGTGGTGGTCACGAGACCCCAGCAGAAACTATGTTTTCAATAGAGAAAAACATATTTTTTCGACTGAACATAACGTGTACTTATTTCTTATAAAATATTATAACATTTTCACTTAGGGGAGAGCTGGACAGATTTGAATTAAAATTAAATAATTCAAAATAATTTGAACTCTAACATTCCTGTTAGATTCTTATATTATTTTAACATCATATGTTATTATTTAAACCCTGTAATATTATCAAATAGTTAATAACTTATTAAAAAGTGTAAAACACAATGTATGTAACTTTTTATTCATATGTGCCCCATAGTAGGGGTACTTTTGAATCTAAGTGGTGCACATTTGAATGAGTCTATATATTAAAAAAATTAACAAGCTTTAAAGTACCTATAGGTAGTAGTATTATTTTAGTGAATTCACTCAGTATATTATATAATAAACCTTGAACACAATAATTTTAACTTAAATATCCGTTGATCACAGATCGCGTGAGTTACTCGAAGCTATTAATATTACTATCGGACATGAGTGTTTTGCTAGATACAACTATACAAGATGCTATATTGTGGACTATTCGAAATAATTATACTGTATAAGAAAATGTATATTGTAAAATTAAAAAATATATATTCTAAAATGTATATTGGTATAAATTACTTTCTAATAAGTATAAAATTATTACATAACAAATTCTTTCTCTAGTAGAAATAAAATATAAAAATTAACAGTACTTATGGTAAAAGTAGGTAGTTACTTACCAACCTACTTGTGAATAATAAAAATAACAAATTAAATTAATAAGTATTTAAATTATTCCATAATCAGTCTTATAAATGACATCACTATGTAAAGTAACCCCACTACGGAATATTCAATTGTACCCTACAGTACAGGTTTCAATATATTTATCAATAACAACTGTACACTGAAGTACAACACAATATTCAATTATATCCTATTTTAAAGTATGCAATACCTATTTTAATTTAGTATGTGCAGCTAAATACCTACTTAATGAATGTTTTTATTTTTTTTTAAATCTCTTAATAAATTATGAATAAATAAATAAATAAAAGTTAAAAACCGATTTTCTTTTTTCGTTATAAATATTGATGACAGATAGCTAATAAACATAATAACACATATTGGGTACAGAGTAGACGAACCGTCCGCATTTTAACTGCACCTAATTTCTCACTAAAACGAGTACGATGAACCATTTTAAATAAACAAAATAGGAAATATTATAATATTATATTTTTATGTCAAATGACAAAACACAGAAAATAAAGGCTTAAAATAAACATAGACCTTAATATACTAAGTAGTACTTAATATATTATTAAGGTTTGTGAAAATAAACAACGAACTATTCTTTACAGAAATTATTTGCCGTTATCTTGTTTACATTTCATGAATATCGAAGGAGTTCATAAAATAATTTTTGTACCACGTCTTTGGTATTCCCTAGTTAGCTTTGTCCCTCTCCATTTTTTTGTCATTAACCCCCCTCATAGCTTCAATACATTCTAATATTTTATTTTAATTAAATGATAATTTATAATTTATATATTATATAATGCAAATTTTTTAAACGATTGGTAAAATAAAAGGGTGTGGTATTTAAGGATTTGAATTTCTCTTTATCTTAAAACCAAGAACTATTATATGATTCTCAATTCGTTGAAATGTCTTAAAAACGTACACAATTTTAAATATGCTCTACAAATGCAATTATTAAAAAATATTAAAATGTTGTGTACAAAATCGATAAATTATGATTCAAATGTTGGTATAAACTAGCTATTTTTATAACCAACCAATGAAAATATGAAAATGCATACACATTTTGGCCTTAACTATTAACATTATTAAAGATAAAAAATATTGTAATTTAACCCAACTACAGTGAGCGCATTGTGTTTCGTGTATGTATTTATCCTACAAGTATTCATTACACTGTAGCTGTATGTGGATTTTTAGACATTTTTGGTTTTGCGATTGGATAAAAGTTAGTATTGATATAGACGTTATTAGTGTATCATTACAATATAAGCGTCGTACACTGTCTAAATGAGAACATTGGATATTGCACGCAATATTTTTATTGTAATAAATACCCAATGAATAGACAAGTATCGTCTAAATTATGTGAGAGTTCAGCAAAATTATAAACTATTAAATGTAAAATATACCTTAAACAATACATTATAATATGTATAGTTTATAGTATACGTCATATAGAAATAAATTTATTCAGCTGCAGTATAATAAAAAATAAAAATGCATAATATATTGCTTGCCCATAAATCTACGAAAATAGTTTAACATACAAGCAGCTATTTTCAAGTTATTTATAGCAGTTTGGCAGGAAATATTGCAGTAATGTCACTCTAAACTTGCTGTAACTTTAATGTAATAATATGTGATAATATTTCTTTTTACGAATCACTGTTGTAGTAATCGTCACCAGAATGATTTGGCACTGATATGGCAGGTGTGTAACCATAAAGCTTGCAAAGAAGAATAACGAAATTGTTTCAATAATAAATGTAACGTTATTAGATATGTACCTAACGTTACTCTGTTTATTTCCAAATAACTTTCATCACTTATACATTATACATAGGTATTTTATTATATCCCCCCTCTCTCTCTTTCTATATACGTATACTATACATATAATAATATAATATACTCAAAGCAATATTCATATAATAAATTGTTTACTGTACCAAAGTTAATTCTAATAAAATTATATACCACTCAGTCATAACATTCGCAAGAAAATGTC